ACCAACAGCACACAACAAGGAGTGTACCAAACCACATCCAGAACTTTGGGTAACAGATAAATTGGTGGGAAGGCATATAGGTGCAATCCATTTAGTCCTGACTGAATGCATCTATCACCAATGCCCAAGGATGAGGTACCAGGGACCAAAATACCTGTAGTTTAGAGTTCTAATAAGTGGCGAATGCATCATCATTGGTGTCCTGAACCAAGAGCAAATCCACGAGAAAACCTCATGATGTAGCATCCATTTGGTTTGGAGAATCTGATTGGGTTAAGACAAATGACCTGTTATTAAATTCAGCACCCCGGAACATGGCAACCTAATAAGCTGATATGATGGGAGTGAGCCAATAAAGAAGATACAATGTTCGAAAACAAAGATCCTGTGATTGAGTGTCACCTTGATGGAAAATATAAGACACCACCATGGAAGCATGACAATTTTTATTCTCAATAATTCTAGACTTTTGGACAGCAAGAACCTCTAAAATAATGATGTGGAGGGAAGTTTTTTTTGTCTGTCCATTGACGCTGGAATTCCTGGCCATTGATATATACACCCAATCCCTGGAGTAGAACACCTATTGTAGTATTGTTCCAATCTAACCTGTTGATCCTGAATACGGAGACTGGATGATCCAGTGGATCATTGTTTATGATCCACTGGTTGTGCAGTGACCACTAAAGGGATCTCAAGTGTGATCATCCCAATGGAATGAGAGACTAGAGTGATGCCCACATCCCCAAAAGAGAAAGAACCACCCATGTAGTGGGAGAAGGAGACATAAGCAACAGTCTGACTGCCTGTTCCATAGCATGCAGCCAGATGGACAATGTATTGAGTTGGCATGAGAATAGATTTCTCAGCTCTAATAATAAAGACTGCCTTAGTGGCTTCTGAAAAGAGAATCTGAGATGGTGCCAGGAGTAACCAGCCATCCATATAATGGTGTATGCACAGGCCTAAAGAATGAAGATGACAAGAAAAAGCTTGTACTATTTCACAGAACACATATGGTGCAGATGCTAGTCCAATGGGGAAGAGCCCTGAACTGCAGTACCCTTGTCCATGAAACATAGATAGTGGCGGGACGACTTCACTATGGGAATGTGGAGATAGGCATCAGCAACATCAAACTTGGTCATCCACAGTCATGGTGAAAAATGCCAACGTAGGGTGAGGAATGACTCCATCATGAACCTGGGATGATCTAAGAATTGGTTGTAACAAGAAAGATTGATGATCAGATGCCAATCTCCCATCTTCTTGGGCACAACAAATAGACAGGAATAACTGAGACAAATCTCTTTCTCTACTGCCTCCCCTTGACCAACACACTCTTATAGCCTTGAAACAAAGGTTCACAATCCGAGGATATGTTGGAGGTAGAAAAACTACAGGTTGGGGAGATAATGGTGGTGGGGATGTGAACTGAATGATCAACCCTGATGCAAGAACCTGTAGTACCCTGGATCTATTTGTAAAGGAATTCCATATGTCCAGAAAATGTTGTAACTGAGCCCCCACAAACCCCACCGACATAGGGTTGTCTCCACTGCTGCTGGCGATGGTCTGACCATGTGGAGGAACCTCATTGATAAGGACAGAATCTATTCTGGGTACTAATGGATCGAGGGATTGAAGTCAGGGATTGGGACACTCAAACAGGAGTAGAGCCATGACTCCCTGTAGGGGCCAAAGAAAGTCAAAAGGCCAACGACAATAATGAGGAATGCAAATAGGCAACTCCAATCTGTGATTCCAATGCCTATGGAGCACTCACAAAAGTCAAGGGGTGAAGAAATGGGGCCTCATGTAACTCACGGAGGGTGGCAGCTGGTAGACAAAAACCCCCCAATAAAGCATCTCTACCCAACAAGATCCAACAACATACCAGCCAAGAAACTAAAGAAAGAGCAGAAGCTGACAATCGTACCAAGGTAGATGTCAACAAAGGTCTCAATTCATCATCAAATTGATGTGGTGATCCCTGAGAGACCTTCGACAAAATCTAGAGGGACAATAAATACCTCAGAACCATAGTGAGGGTTTGAAGAATCCTAAAAAATTGTGATCTGTTTAAGTTGGACACAGGCTCCATTTTGGACTACACATCTACACATTTCCAAAAGCAGGTCTAGCCTTTGGGAATCTAAATATGTGTCTCCTAGTGGTGGTAAACCAAAACATGTTGTTCAGACAAACTTGGCAGACAAGGCATAGCTATCTGTTCCCGTAACTGAGCAGTAAACATCCCTGCATAAACAGCAATATCAGGTGATGGAGGAAGAACTAAGTATTTGCCCTCAGACCTTTCCATCATCAAGGATGGTGTAGACTCAAAGGCAACTGGGGAAAAACCCAGAATGTTACATACCTGATTGACTAACTGAAGAAAAGTAGCTGGAGGTGGCTGATCCAAATTGGCCTCATGAGAAGCTGATCTTGTAGAGGAAAGCACCAGAAAAAGCGACTCTAAATTATCTACAAAATATCCAGAATTGTCGGCAAAAGCAGCCTCAAAACACTCTGGACCAAATATACGTTTCCATCTCACTACGAATCAGAACACAGACAGCCTCAACTGAGAGTGTCCCCACCCACCCCTAACTGTTGAGTGACACTAGATATCAGAGGTGGGATGGAGAGGTCTGATTAGCCTCCTTGCCTGAAACAGAAACCCAGAAATTGATGCCATATATTGACGTGTCATACTAAAAATTAATTTTTTCAAAAATAAAATCAACAAAGTGACATGAAAATCGTATCGTGTCTTTAATGCTTTTTATATATATATATATATAACTGAAATGTCAGCAATCAAAAGCATGAATGTGGTTTCAATAGTAAGCTGTAATTGGCATTCCCTCACTACTTTTTGACATAGTCACAAGACACTTATTCGAACAGCATCTTCAACAAAAATACTTGATGTTTGTTTATTCTGCATTTCTTGAATAAGGTGATATAAATGCAAGTTTCATCGTTTTCAACTTCTAACAACAATTAAAAACTTACAAGCAAAAATCAACAATAAAAAATTAATAATTATTATCATTAATACATCAAAAATGTAATATTCAAATAATACAAATATTTTTTAAATAGTCAGAATATCATTTAACTCAATAGTTACAGATAGGTCCACTGGGCTTAGCACGTATGGAAAATTATACACAGTTGAACAATACTTAGAATAACTCTGAGCTTTCTTAACCTATCTTCATAAAAATTGGTAAGATTTTGTTAACCCTTTCACTGCGGCTGGGACGTATATATTTTGCAGTGCACTGAGAATATACGTTCAAGCTGCAGTGAATGGGTTAATGATTACAAGTATTTTATACACAAAGAATGAGATTGTTTGAATTAATTATTTTAATTAAACATTTGTTATTTGCAATCAGACTCTGAATATTTCAAGTATTATCATCAACATATTGTGCAGAGAAATGTTTAAAATTAAAAATAGAAAAATTTACATACTTTTTAATATTTCATCAAATAATCTTGAAAATCTTCTTAGTTTATATTCTTAACTGTAAGTTTTTACTTTTTAATAAAAAGTTAATTTTTGATGTTTTATTTTCCTTTCTCATCCTTTAGCATTATTACTTATTGTGACGCATGTCAAAGGGGCAATCTTGGGGTTTCATCGGCAGTGACAATTTAGCCATCATTAGAACATTGGGACATTTGCCTAGTACACTAAGCAGTTTGGCTTATATTTTAAAAAATTATTAAACCTTTCTAACATGGATTTTAAAACATAACTAATACATAATTAACTAAAATATAAAACTAAAACCTAAATAAAAATTAATTGCCTATTTAACTAACATACTTATAGGTGAGAAATAATACTAAAGCACTAGTGAGGACACAAGCAGCAACAATGCTAAAAGAGCATTTTTCAAGTTATCAATAGAATACTTCAGGCCAATTTTAAAATATCTGTTGGGAAATATAGTATTTCAAAATGTGGTCTTTCTATTGGTTACAAACATCTAGCTCAACTAAGTGTAATTGGCTGAGAAATTGCAACTGTATGTGTAGAGAATAGTCCTGGCATCTGTCAAGTGTACCAAGAAATTAATTCTCTCTCCTCTAAACTTGCACCACGGAACTTGAAAGAAGAGTGTGTAAACAGAGCAATTAACCTAGATTCTTTCTATATATATATATATATGGAAGGTTTAGTTTAGTTAAGTCATTCTCATATCACAAACTCTAAATGTTAAAACTTTGTAAGTAACTGACTGAAATTTTGCGTCAAACTGAAGTTTAAGAACTTTTCTTCAAGTTTTTTTTTTGAAATAAAGGAATTAAAACTTAGATAATATAAAACTTTGGACTACTATGTAAATTTTAATAGTAATTTCATGGGTATACATTTATAATAAGATTGCTTAACTAAATTTTGAATGTAACAAAGTAAAATATCGTGACGTGCAGTACAGGGGAGAACCATAATCAAATGGACCTACCTGTAACCACTGAGTTAGGAGACGTTCTCTATTCTCCAACATCATTGAACAAGCTTACTTGAATATAGCCACATAAGATCTGATGTTTTCACCATGACAAGAGATTAAATTTTATGTTAATCTAAAAGTCAGTTTTATTTGCTATTATAAATGTAGTTCAGATGTTCATTTTGACTTTAACATTTAAATATGGACATATTTTACATATCCAGTGTCTAAACCATTAATTCACTTTTGTTATTTCTTTTAACATGTAAAAAACAGGTGATGTTATACGTTAATAAAATAAAAAAAACAACATGGTGATTATTACTTAACCAAGATAACAGTAAAAACACGCAAAAGAAAAAAAACACTGTATTCTGAATTGGTAGTATTAATATCATTTACCTCTCAAATACCTAAGTTAACAGAGGTTACTTGTGGTGAGTAACAGACATCAGAAAATCTATATATGCAGAGTTTATTACACCCACCTATAAAACACACAATATCCTTTGGACTACTAACCTGTGAACAAAGCCCATGGAATGAATGGCATCCACAGCTAGAACCACTTCAGCACAATAAAACTTGGCCCATTTTTCTGGTACATCATAGTTGCTCATTAGATTGACTAAATCACCACCAGGCATATAGTCCATCACCATGTAAAGATATTTACTATCTTGGAATGCAAAGTGTAGCTGAGATAGGAAATAAAAGTCAATATCACATGGTCAATTCTTAATAGCCAGATCTACTTAATGCTTAGTAGATTTTATTGCATCATTTTTTAACAAATTTAATTGCAAAAATATGTGATGATTAAATTGATTCAACTACAATGTAATGTAGGGCTCAATTTTAACATAATTGCTGATGTTACCATACAATAATAATGTTAAAAAACCCTTTAATTCTTGCTTTCTAAATGTAGCAAGAGTGCACAAATTTTTCTGTGTTCAGTAAACATATTAAATAAAATTAAGAAGAAAAAAAAAAGGTGAATCCAAAATATTAGTGATGCAAACATAAGCTAAGATCTACCTATGAAGCTGATTGCAAGTACTGATTACACACTATCTGATTTACTTGAATGTATCTCTTTTTTTCATGGCTAAATGACATCTACTTAGTTAGCATTTGTAATACAAAATGACCAACATATTTCATAAAAATGTTTATAAATTTCTAGAGAAAAAGTATTTAGCTTGAATATACATATTTCAGTCAGAAGTTAAAGTACTGAGTGCAGAAAAAGAGTAGAGAAAGAAAAAAAAACAACTTTAATTCACAATTTCTTTTCTGTCTTCATAACTGTCTCCATAGATATAAATTTGCAAATAACTTCACAAATTAAAAAAAATTACATTTTATAACCATAATAGTAAAAAATATTCCATCACAACAAAGATTTTTCAAATATTTAATAGTACATTGCTATAAATACCTACTTTTTTCTATTTTCATTGTCTGATACAAAAAATAAGGACTAGAGGACCAACTAATTCACACAAATTGCTACTTGACAGTGGCCTTGCACATTTAATGTGTCACAAATTCCTGTGTTAACTTTATCTTTATTTACTAATTAATCACAGATCTAATAGTGCTGAGTACAATGAACATTGAAGAAAACCATTCCAAAAAACCCCTTTCAATTAAAATTATTGGCATGAGCTGATCTAATACAAATAAACATACCTTCACTATCCAGTCTGTGTTGGCATGTGCCATAATAAAACGTTCTTCCCAGAAAAATGCAGAGTCAGATCTTTTAATCTAAACAACAGAGAAAAACATTTATTCACTGAAAGTCAAAAGTAGTGGTACTACCCATTACAAAATTTAAAACAGGTATTTTGGCTCTGTAGCTAACAAAAGTATAAAATACAAACATGAAATAATAATGGCAGTTGGATGTAATATGTAAATGATTAAAAGTAAAAGTTTTAATATAATGTTCGAGCTTAAAATCATAACACACTTCATGAATATTGGCTATCTGTTCAAAATAAAAATAAAATATATTTTTGAACAATGTCTGTGCATGTATCTAACAATATGCTTATAAAATGTATTTATATAAAATAATTCTTACACAACACTTATGCAACAATGTATGTCTACTGATTTTTTCATTTATCATATATACTTGGCAAATGTCATTTTTGGTTGTTTAAACACCTGTGAAACTAACACCCCATCCATTTTATAGCTATAAATAATGTTATTCACATTTGACCAAAAGAAAGCACTGTAGTTAAACACGTGTATTTGAAACAAATACTCAGTTGTGTTACTTGCTGAAAGAACAGACTTTATGTTATTTCTGCATATGATGTTTGTATTCATGAAGACTGTTATTAAACACTTGTTCTCATCTGTATTCATCTGTAATCTGTTTAAAGTTTTACTTATGCAAGTGTTGTCATCAGGAAAAATCACATATCAACATATAAACTTCATATACATCTTTGACTAAACATGTCACAATACAAAATTTTTCAATACTTCCATATAAAATTTAATAATTACGCAAAAGATACATAAACAAATATGCATTTTTACAAACCAGAATCCTGCTCAGACAAACTGAAAATAAAGGTTAAATTAGCTTCCTGTGGCATAGAACTCATGAGATAAAAAGAAAAACATCATGTGACAACACTATCAACTAAAAAGCAAAACATATTACCACCATATGTGACAGAAACAAAAACACCATGACAATGAAATCAACTGTCTTAACCAAAACATAATTATGTATGGGATCCTCTTGGGAAACACACTGCAGCTCTTCAAGAGACTGGAACCAATAAATATGCCAGGAAATAGCTCTTTTAGGAGTAGTCAAGGGTACTGATTTCAACTATGAAACATCAGCATCATGCTGCCCTATAAATACCTACTTTTTTCTATTTTCATTGTCTGACACAAAAAATAAGGACTAAAGGTCCAAATACTTCACAGAAATTGCTATTTGATGTGGCCTTGCACATTTAATGGTAATTACACTTCATACTGAAGAGAAACAGTGATAAGTGTAACAATGTAAGGTCACCTCTTCAAAATGTTTATTTACAATCATAGGCAGAATAAGCAAACCATTTATAGTTCACACCATGCGACTCATCATTAGATGTCTGATTTGTATAACAATGAACTGAGGGGACTTATTAAAAATATTTATTGCCTTCTCATAGATTTAATATTATAAATTTCAATTATCCACTGTTACATATACATGAAACAAAGGACAATTAATTATGAATAATCTGTGAGAACTTAAAAATAAAATTATTTTGCCAATTCTCAAAATAAAAGGATTTATAAACATATACTGTGTTATTGTTGGGCTTAGATTTCTTCTACAGTAGGTGTCTGTGACTTGTTGGCAATAAATTCAAGTGATAAATGAACAGCATGCACTTCAATTGTTTTCAAAATAATATATATATATATATATATTCGGAACAAGTTAAATGTATATACAACAAATTCTTCACACTATAGGGATTACAGGCATATCATTAACAATATATATATATATACACATATTTCTTCTTTTTCTTGTCAAAAGTCCACTTTAGAATTTCAGTTGACAAGCCAAACTATCTTCTCTGTTACTATTACACTAGTATTCTGTGTGTGATTCACTTCCAACTGTAGCACGAGTTACCGTAATTGTTTGGCCTTTCTTCTAAATATCCTCTGTTCCTTTTGTCAAAGTGCACTCAGGCTGATTCAATTACTTTAGAACTACACTTTGATGAAATAATTCTTCTTCTTCTCATCTTTTCTACTCTTAGTCTTACTCTAACATATTAAACATTCAGTCTATGTTAATCGTTAGGACTATCACTTCTAAAGTAGTTAACTTCACGCCAAACTTTTCCTTGCCCATAATTTTACTCTCTTCTGATTTACAATGTAACATTAAATTTTAATATTGAAAGTCATTTAGTGATGATCTATGTATAGCCGTATCATCCCTATATCCGTGTTTGCATTCTTTATGGCACTCCCATCCCTACATCATTTTACATTTACAAAATGTTTTTATTACTTATTTATTACTTAAACCATTTGAAGCTTTGTACTGTCAGTTACAGTTTGTGTTTTAGTGAAATGCTTCTGAAGAAGCTGTAAAGCAAAACAGTGTGTCCAATTAACCCTTTGAATGCAATGAAACTTTAAACCCCTTTCAGTGCACATCATAAGTTTTAATGAGTTAAATTCAAAATTGAATTAAACCACTTTTCTATAACCGTATTTTAATGAAATTACTATTATCAAGTACGTTATAATTTAAGATTTTATATTAGCTAAGTTGTATTTATTTTAAAAAGAAAAACCTGAAACAGCAATTAAAACTGCAGTTTTTGCTGTCATATGAACCACTGTGGTTAAAATTCTCAAGTTTAAGAGGTTGTACACCAGAAACTATGAGTTCCTAATATAGACTGTCGGCATAGATGGTCAAAGTACAGTTCCAGCTGTCTCTCATTAGCTGGGGGAACTTCCAAAAATTTCTTATGGTATGAAACAACATTCTAATATTTCTAAGTTTAAGGTCAGCCATGCCCACTTGCAAAGTCAAAGCTGTGTTGTCAAGCGAAACTTTGAAGTTGAATGACATGTTTATAACCAATAGAAAGAGCAGATTTCACATTATTCAGTTATAGCCTGAAAAAACCTCTACCTGTGTATGGATCTGTAGTATGAAATAAAAAATAAGCTTAGTCCACTGTTGTCTTGAGGGGTGTATAATGTTTGGCAAGTGTTTCTCGCCTTACAAATATTAGTTTGCTAAACAGTTAAATTGCATTTAGGTTTTACATTTATATTTCAATTAATTATGTATTTATTTGTGCTTTAAAATGCATAATTAAAATATTTATGATTTTTATACATTTAACTTGTTGTAATTTGGCTTACCAAAATGTCTAAGCAAGATGGTATCATTCGCGTGTGTAAGCGTGTTTGGAATTTGTGCATGAGACTCATCCAGACTTGCCCTATAATAAACAACAGGGCACCACGCGGGACATGTTGTGAATGATAATGAATAAAAGACAAAGAATTGGAAAGGAAAATTAAAAATAAACTACAAGTGAAAAGACAAAGACATGAAATTATGCATATGACAAAAAGAAATTTTAAAACTATTCTTCAAAATTGTAAAATTATGTACTTATTTGCATTTCTTAATTTTAAATATTTTATTGCACAGTATGTTGATGATGATAACTGTAGTTAATGATATAATAGAGAAAGTGGAAAACAAAATATAAACATTTACCTTAAAACTTTTGATATTCATTTAGGAGGTTCTAGAGATTATGCAAATGAAATGTGAAACTGTGAGATAAGAAATAGTATTTTTATACTCAAAATAAAAATCACATTGCATGTGAACTATTCAGATTAAATAATGAATGTTTTATCATAAATAGTAGAAAAAATCAAAATTAAAGATTTTATTTTTCTAAAAGTACATAATCTTAGGACCATTCAAGTCAAATTTAAAACTATTTCATTAACTAGTTTCATTTTTATAAAGAACTTTCACGAAAGTCACATACCTACTTACAATGTAAGTAAATCATAACCAAAGGGTTAAAGAAAGACAACTATTTGGTGTTATAAAGTCATTTATTTCTAGTATTAAAATTAAATAATGTTTAAATTAGCTAAACTAGTACTTTAGAAGAAATCAACTAGATATCATTAACAATAACACTTCAAATAAAACTTGCTTTTTTTTGTATTTTTTCTGTTCAGTTCTCATATAGGGATACATTGTTGTTTTTCTTCTTTCCATAGTTACTTAAAACATATGTTTAACTATAAGAACAGCTAAAACTATCAGACTTACATGACATATATATAATAAATACTTTATATTTCATTCATTTAACAGTTCTGAGCATTTTTACTTACCATTTCAAACTTACTAAGGAGTTTCATTGCATAAACTTGTCTTGTAGACTTCTGTCGGACCTGAAAATTGGAACATTTAACATTCGTTATTTTGTAAGAAATACATAAAAATAATCTCACCATTATTTAACATTTTTCACTGTAGATGAAATTATCTTTTCAGTGACATAAATGTGCTATATGTATTATATTTCTTTAATGTATTGCTTATAATGCTTGAAATCACTCTAATTGGAACCAAGAAATGTTTGGCTACAATCTCCTGATGATCATTTCACCAAAAAATTGAGCATTTTATTCCTAAAAGTAATTTTAACAGCCTTCAAAGTTTGTCAAGTAATAGTTTCATTGGTTAGTTATTTGTGTATCTGTAATATTCATGGTTAGCATATAAACAAGTGCATGTTTTATAGTCTTTTCATGAAATTAGGAAGGTAGTCTAGGTTTAATACGTAAAACAGATAGTTCTTGTGCAAAAAATTTTAATTAAAATTAATCAAATGAGACATCAACATATTTTACTTGCACAATAATTTACTTTTAAAATTAAAAAACTATAAACAACAAAACCTTTAAAAATTCTACATGTTTCGTTAATTGAGTTCCAGAAGCAACCGAATTTGATCAGCACTACAATACAATTCACTATAGAAATTGAAGATGAGGGTTGTTTAAACTTTTTAGATGTTTCTATAAAAAGAAAGAAAGGCTTTCTGTCTACTTTTGTATACAGGAAGCCATTCTCAGTTACCATACCACTGCATGTGAGATTGTGTCACCCATGGTCACAAAAAGTCCTCATTTTCGTCTTTTGTTTAGAGGGCTATTAATGTTTCTTCATAAGACGAGGATTTGATGTTAGAATTAACGTATTTAAAACAGGTAGATTGATAGAGGGTATCAACTTCAAATCATAGATAGGATGTAGAGTAAATATTGTAACAAACTTCAAATTTCTGGATGTACTAAATTGCAGATAACTAAAATGGAAAGTAGAGAAAGAAAATGTTTGCCCTATGTTACACTATGGTCATTAAAAATAGGTAATGTGTTTAGGCAGAATATGAATTGCCAAGTAACATTTACTCCTCATTTAAAATTAACTCATATAATTAATGATTTGAAAGATAAAATTGAATGAAGAGATAAATGTGGTATATATATAAAATTTCATGTACTTGTGGTCTAAGTTATATTGGACAGATAAGAAGGAACTTAACATTTACAATAAAAGAACATCAAAATGTGGTGGATAAATTAAAAAACGAGTAATGTAATTAGGGATAATGTAAAAATACTTACACAGGTAACATAAAAAGATGAACTAAACATAAGAGAATCGTTGGAAATTGTTAAAAACAAAATGAATATAGAGATTTAGGCCCAAGAGCCATGGAAGTAAGTTTTTGAAAATCATTGTTGTAAATGGCATCACTGAAAAAACATGCTAATTATACACATACATAGGTTTATAAGAAACTTTATGTGTACTTTGTGATTTTATTCTCCTGAAGATGGTGGAATTACTTTCACTGAAACATGTAGTTTTTTAATTTATATTTTTTCAACTTTACAAATAAATTATTGTGCAAGTAAAAACACTGATGTCTCATTTGATGAATTTTATTTAAAATAGTCTAGTCTTTTTGCAAAGAGAATTCAAGTTGAGATCTAGAAATAGTTTTTACTCCCCAAAAGCTATACTTCCAACTTGAAAAATTAAAACTCAAAATTTTTATTTCTAGATTTCATGCAGTTTACAAAAATTGTAAATTTTATTACCAATTTCTAATTAGTCAAGCAGTTTACGAAACAACACTGCCAAAGAAAATATGCTAACAAATTATTCCATCAGATCCAAATATGAGAAATCTGATTAATTCTACAATTTGTCTACAAGCTAGTAATTGCAACCTTACACTTTATCATACTTCTTGCAGCTGTTTTTCTTATTAAACAATTTTAAACATGAATATCAAAATGTAACTTAAGACTTTGTACAATTAATATGCATTTACACAACTTTCAAATCACATTTACATGACAGATAAGACTAGAAATAAATAATTTAAATGCTGTGTTCATGGAAACACACTGACAGTAATTTATGTCTACATTAATCAATACCAGCTCATCATCAAGTATAAACATTTTAGCTTTTCTTAAAGAACAAATATCATTATATAACAATTGAAAAAAATATCATTTTGAAAAATAAACTTCAATTTACTTCTGAAAAAGTTTATTAACTTTCACAAATTATTCCAACAGGAAAAGTCTCCACAAGATAGAACCTTCACACCTGTTTACATGTAACTATATAAAGCCACCATCTGGTCTATATCAACAGAAGAGACTATCAACTCACATGATATACTGTAAAAACATTCCAGTTCAACTTTACACAAAATTGCTTCTTTCTTGGCTTTAATCATACAGAAGTATACTGTACAAACAACCATTTGAACTTCAACAAATGTTATCTTCCAATGTTCTTCATCATTACAAGTACATTATACAAAAATACCACCTAAACTTCACCAAGTAAAAACGTTTTTTCCTTAGTTTTAATGACATTAAAATACAATGTAGAAGCATACCAGCTGAACTTCACCAAAAGCTCCTCTTCCAATAGTTTTAATCACGATGAAGTCACTTGGCTTCATTCGACAACTAACTACATTCCTTCCAGGTAATTCATCTACAACCAAATTGAAATTAGCCAGAAAATGTTGTAATATTACTCAAACATATATGTTAATACAAGTGGAATTTTTATAATGAACCAGAACCTTAAATTAATGGCTAGCTATGGCAAAACTGTCTAAATTTTACATAACTTTTTTTCCCTATTGTTTATCCCACAGAAAAAAAAATTCAACTATTTTCATTATTATTCTTTTCATACATAATGCAAAAAATACCATATTGTAATTGTATGTAACAATTATTTTCAGCAAATGTTATAACAATTGGGGTTTGTTTCGAAACATACTGAAGGATAAAAGGTTCAATTTGAAAGCAATTTCATCTCTTTAATTTCAAGAACAAAGACTCAACTGAGATCAGCGGTCAGTAGCAAAATACATGAAGCAGATGCCAAACGAAAGTGACATTTAATGGTGCATGTAGCACATGTACCTTTGTATGGGACAACAGATTGTGTGTTACAGTCAAAATAGTAGAAGGGTGCATCCCACACCCCATTTATAGCATTATTGTTTAAGCTGACTTGAAAGGCACCTTTGCTACTTATCTACATTTTGTATTTGGCAGCTGAATGCTGACATTTAGATGCCAATTCACTGCATATAGGCAGGCAAAAGGGCCAGAAAATTCATTTCAACCCAATTTACCTGTGTATGGAAAGTTATTTTTAAAATATCTCAAATCTGCTCACTTCATTCTCAGATTTGAATAATATAGTGCATGATTAAATGTTCAGTTTATAAAGGTAAACTGATATAGTTATTTTAACTGATGTTTTTGTATTTAACTTATTTAATAATTTATTTGAGGGAGATTTTTATATTCACTATTTCCAGATTATAGAAAAATAGCAGACTGCAATAATCAGTCATTATATTTTATCTTTTCCAATTAACAACTAGCTGTAGTTAAAGTTGGCTGTTACGGTTTATTAGCAGACTGGATTTTTATCACTTATCTTTCCTGTCCTTCTACTCTAAACTCACACGCTAAAACTAAAATTCTTGTTTAGAGAGGGTCTTTAAATTTGGTTTTGGATTAAGTATACTTTACAGTAAGAGTTTAAGTACACTTTTAGTTAATATTTCGGACCTTAAAATTTCTGCTCTGCCTTAGGAAAAGATAAATCCACTATTCAGACTTTAACTGCAAGAGATAAAAGAAAAACATTGTTAACTTTAGAATAGCAGAAAAATTTTATTTACATACTATATTTTCTACATAGAGAACTTTTGAGACACTGCAATCTCATTTCTCATCATTCCACATTTTTTGAAAGTTAAAGTTTCTTTATAAAGAATTTGCCAGCTAAAATCACATAAAAAAGAAAATATAAAGTTTTAAGAAGATATTAGTCTTAAGTATAAGTTATCTAAATATATGTATTTACAATAATTTAACGGATTTTAATGACTTTGAAAAAACTATTTCTAAAATATTTTATCTACAAAATCTGATAGAAAAGAATTGTTATAATGTTTTATCATTATGTAAGCTGAATCAGTTTCACTTTGTAACGTGATAATTCTGTTCTTGAATAAACAGAACAAAATTATTACTAACTTGTCTGTTTTTTTATTAATGTAATGATTGTGAGCATTAGGGCACTTATCTCTTAAACTTGTATCATAAACACTTTGGTTTAATATTTATGTCTTCCTTTGGATCTTTTTTTTTGGAAACAATTAAAGGACTACTGATGCCATCCTATGCTGATAAGAGTTTTGACATAGTGAGAGCTCATATCAGTAGTTTTGTTCTGTCTTCTTTTTACAATTATACTTCTGGAAAGAAACCTTGTAACTTATCTCAATAAGAATATAAAGTTCTTATGAATCTTGAAAAATAATGATTTAGTGATTAAAAAAATAAAAGGGTGATAACAGTCATTTTAAGTAAAAGTGATTATACAGGTAAGGTCAACCACATAGTAGAAAATTTGTGAAATTAGACACTCTACCACTAATAAGAGCAGTTACAAAAGTGCCTAATGCAGTTAAGGAGAGAAAAAGCTACATCTGGAACAGTTTATATAATCTAACAGCTAGGATTAGAAATGTTTGAAAGGTTCATACGAAAAGCTAGAAAATTTCTGATGGTACCATACATTTCTATGTCCCTTGTGGGCAACTCCTAGACTTCTGAAGAGGTTCAATTTTTTCTACAGGAGGATTTGTTGAAGGACTGGTGCCTCAAAACAGTTACTATAAAGAATGGTTGTCTCAGTACTGTACTATCTCATATTATATCTAATGAGAATAAATCATTTTTTTTGCAGATGCTAATCTTCTATAAGGTGGAAGAAACATCTTCCACTTTAAATATGCCCAATATTTTGCAAGTAATAGCACCTGATTCATGGTAATTGGTAATAAAATCTAGTTGTCTTGTTCAATGTTATATTCATGATTTGCTGTTGTCATTGTTACTGTTAATATTGCAAAAAAACCTAAATTTAAAGTTTTTGGGACTGTAAAATATTTTACATCACAGAATGATTGATAAAGAATAAAATGACTAAATATCATGCAGGTTATTTTATTAACTTTTATATATCAACCTACTTCAGATGAATTCCAGTCCTTTAAAACTTACTCTTCCATCCAAGAAACCAAGACTATCATTTAACCCTAGCAGATGTCTTATCTGCCAGAAAGAATGATCTCAGAAAGACATCAGAACTGGGTAATAGAAGCTTTCTGAAGTTCTTCAAAGTAAGTATGGAACAGGTGACGACAAAGCATATGAGAGAATTTAAAATAATGCTTGAGTAACAGGGAGAGTCAGCATTTGCTGGTGAACAACTAATCCAGTGGCATAAAAACTGTTATTCATCATTCACCAGCATCACAAATTTCACACATGTAGCAGGCCCAAAGAAGGATGAGTCTGCATGTTTTGTGGATGAAAGTCACAAAAAAAACAAAAACAGACAGAAACCTTATAAGAATGGCCACATTTGAGTTCTGCAAGACACTAGAAAAAAAGAGTACAGGAGAAGGGTGACCATCTCCTTAAATGCAGGATAGGTCACTTCTTAAAACTGGTTGCAGTAGAAGCCCAGTACCACAAGACTTGTTGAAGGTAATAAATTTTGTAGAATACAGTTACTGCTGCGTCATTAGAAATGATAACACGTTTGATGAATTTCTGTCCCTCATTATGCCAACTTGAGAAAGTAGGAAAGATTCTGGCATCCAAATGCTGTCCAAATATAAGGAGTGTCGGATAAAGTATGTGACCGAGGAGCATGAGCAGTGCTTCACAAAGCATAAGCACAAAACAAAGCTTAAAAAAATGCTGTGGGGATAGCATACAGTTTTATCAGCAAGAACACTCATCTTCAAGATGTAATCAACACTGCAGCAAATTAAAAGGAAACCCTAAGAAACATTCAGATTAAGGATGTTTCCCTAGATGTCATGCAGAAGGAATCATCCTTTAGACTTATCATTATAGAGCTGTTGATGTCAAATGCCTGATGAACTCTACACCTTTTTCTATTGGATCTTGTACAGGCAGTCAACAAAGTCTGTGGATATTGTTGAGGAGGTGCCTGAGCAAGATCCGGGGCTTTATAAATACATCCTTTCCCTTGGACAGGATCTAGCCTACATGCAGTCCCCAGACAAATGTAGAATGCAGAAGCATGTGGGGCTTAGAGCTGCCCTGCACAAAATGACCAAGTCAAAAGAGGTTGTGACATTGGTAAACAATCTTAGCCATGGTATAAATTATGAAGTCCACTACACTGACACTTGCTGGGCAAATATTCAGATGTTCTTGGAAAATTTATGTGTACCACAAAATATGGTTTATGGGACCACACATGGAGCTGTTAAAAATTTCATAGAGCCACAGAATCAGTACAAGGTATGCACCATGATGCTGTGAAAATGATGCTATATCAAACCAAACAAGGACATGCTGGAACACCAAGGTCATTTGGCCAATCGGAACCTCTCCCCAACAGCTCATTAAGGACAGTGAAGAAGCAAAGTTCTGATTCACGAAACATACATGTGTACACTAACATGGGTGGCAAAAATATTGGTCTCAAACACCTCCTAAGGAAAGTGAAGATGTAATGTTTTTTTTTAATGTACATCTCATTATAAAGGTAAGACAGCCATTGTTCAAGCACTCACTGTACTCCATGAAGATATTTGACTTAGACATAAGCAACATCCAAAACATAGTGTTGGGATGGACTGTGTATCAGCAACAAAGTTGTGATTTGCAAGACAAATATTAAATATTGTACAATGGTTCCAGCACCAGTGGTGGATTTCAGTACTGTTTACACAATAATGAAACAGTTTCAGATGATGTTCTATGCATTGGGCCAAGAATGAACCCTTATCATCTACAATGAAGCAATTTACAGCACAGATAATTATGTGGAAAAATCCTAGAGTGATGAGCTAGAAATGAGTGGCATGCACAGAGTGATGAACTTCATGGGTGACATTGGACATTTGATGGAGGAAAGAAGTTTTGAGGACATACTTGTTGAGAGTGACATCTATGGCTCATCTGCTGTCTCACTGAATGAAAGGCAAAGCTCACAACAGGGGTGTTCACACACACAAAATCACAGTAACAAAATCTTGTCCGTCAAATTTGAACTGCAATCTACCTTTACATGTCTTACATATATAATGTTTATTATCAGTTTGCTATGACAAATGCCTGTATGTGTAACATTTACATTTTGAAGTTATGACAGTTAATGGGTGTGAGGTAAAAATAAGTATGATAAAGTAACATTTACGATTAAGTAATACATGTCTATGTCTATTGCACCATATATTGCTTAATCTATCTAAAATAATTTCATGTGCATTCTATGACAAAAGGGTGTCACCATGTTCAATGTTACCATCTTCTTGCTATATTGACATTACCATTTTTTTGCTGTAATGAAACTCTAAACAAACTCAAGTTTAACAAATATGTGTATTTGAATGACAGCAGTTTAGTTTATTGAAACAATATTACACGATTTTATTAAAAGAATCTAATTATAGTGTTTATGATGCTGATTTTATATAATAACTGAAAAGAATCAGGTTTCATTCAATCCAGACATCCTCTTGAAATTTGTTTTCTGCATGTAAATATTCCTTATTCAAAGACAGACAATTTTATGTCAGAGCCCCTCAACAACTCCCTCTGTAGCAAAAACTGCAACACTTCAGAAATTGACATCCACCCTAGGGGTTACCCACAAGGGTCATAGATATGCATGACATCATCAGAACTTTTCTAGCTTTTGGGTGAACTGACTCAAAGTTTGAGGCTCTTTTGAGATATACCTGCTAGACTAATAAAAAAATAAGGCCAGTCCACCAAATGAGTCATCATACAAGACCAACAAGTTCAAAAATAGGCATTTACTTAGAAAGGTTATCAGGGTTTTTATTATTAAAATGTTTTTGAAATAACTTGGATTAAAAATATTTACAAAGTGCAATGAATTTATAAGTCATTTCATTGATGGTCATATTAGTGAAATAATGAATAAACTATCTACCTCAAGAAACCAATAGTAATAGCATTACTTTATGTAGGACAACAAGCACAAGATTGAAAAAAAAACAACCATAGATACAAATTAGATGGGGCTTGAAATAAAAATAATTTTCTTTCATTTTTAAACTCTTATGTCCATATTGTGTATAATAATATGTATGATTCAGCACCACATGATTGTCTAACTGTATAAAAGAACATACTCCTCATAAGCCTGAGAACTCTGAGCACTGAACAGCATGTTTGGACAAAATGTAATGTTAATAAAACAACCAACTCTTTTTTGATAATTAGTGAACTGGGAATAAGCAGCAATTATGAAATAGAGAATCTGATGATTGCTAAACTGAAGCCAGTTTTTATATCAGCTGAATATGGCAATACTATTCTCCTCAAACTGTATGCTTGTTTCATTTTTCAAATAAGATATAAAGTAATAAACTTCGAAAACTAAACAAAGGTTGTATGATGAACAAAAATAACTGTCATTCATGTAGCAATAACAGGAAAAGCACTAACTAGATAACAAGATCTACAATAGAAACACTTCTCATATACTTTTGGTATTTAATGGCCGGCAAAAAAGAGAAAGCAACTATAGAGAAGTTTAAAAAGTATTCAGCAAAAATAATAAGTTATCCATCAGTTTGTTTGTAGTTAAGCACATAGCTACATAATGGGCTATCTGTGCTGTGCCCACCATGAGTATCGATACTCAGGTTCAGTGCTATAAGTCAGCAGACTTACTGCTGTGCTACTAGGGAGCCCTTATACACCTGAGTTATGAGTTTAAAAAATTAACTTTCTTAGTTCTGCAGGTGTAGAAACTTGGCTTTGAAGTTAAAACATTTACCAACATTAACACAACAAACAATTCCAACAGTTAAAACAAATATACCAGAAAAAATTCATAAAAAATAAAATCAGTGCATTTATTCTAATAAGCAATAAGTTAGAGTGAAACAGCAAACACATAGGTACAAACTTTAGAGCAATTCTTTATTTTGGAAATGTTTAAAATGTAAATAAAAAATACATGCAAGCTATTAAATGTGCACAAGTTACCTCTAATGTTTCAACTTTTTTATAAGTTGTAAATTAATGAATCACCTCTTAATCTTCCTGGCATTCCATTCAATAATATTTTCTATAAATGATGTAATAATTTTTCATGCCACTTTTGGAAAGAAAATCTTTATAGAAATTTCTCATATATCAAACTTAAAAAAACCAAGTTATCTAAAAGTAGGATCAGCTTAGTGCTTTAATTAGTTTTAGTCTACTTACATCTATTTAAGAAACTTTCAAAATTTTTCATTCTTCTTAGAGCAAGATGATCACAGTCTAAGATCAGAGCTTGCACTGTGTCCTATAGATGAAAAAATTATCATTACCAAACAAACAAAAATTGACAAAATTGTATTAGAGCTTGCATTGTGTCTGGAAAAAGATTATTACCGAAAAAGAAAAAAACTATAAAAAAGAGAAACTGACCGCAGTACAAGATATAGCTTGTAATGAGTCCAAGACAAAAGAAAAGGATCATAAATGTAACAAAATATTAAAACTAAAATGTTATAATACATCACAGTTTCATGATATTTCAGCACACTTTAAGACTTAACGGATTAGGTAATCACAATATATTATCATCTTCGTAAAATTTTCTATACAATGGCCTTTTTTTTTTTACCAGAGCTTTTCAATTAAGTGAAAAACATTGTAGACTAGTACTATTTCTAGAAATTGAGGCTTGTTAAGGATGCTAAAGGCATTTCTTGTTAAAAGTTGGTAATAATTTGTTCAAATATAATTTGTCGATTTCAAAAACTAACATTACTAAGCTTAATTTTGAGTTTTAGATACTCAACTAGGTGTAAAACAGAGCAATGTTCAAGTGTACTATTCCTTCTTAAAGCATAAGAATTAACGAGCTGTGGTCATTTAACAACAAGGTTATATGTGTTAAAATCATACAATAAGCTGCAATTTTGGACAACATTGCATATATACAAACAACACTACAAGCTACACACATTTTAAGTTTATAGTTATGTTTTATTGTTTCAAATTGCTGAAATAATTGTACCCTTCAAGTGAAACAGGTGGTTTTTACTTTCATGCTGTATTTTATGTCTTACATATACACAAGGATCAATAAGTTATCTTGGAAAATGACATTGTTTTGGTTTTGTTAACAACTATTTTTAAATAATAAAGTTTTTGTTTTTAACTGATCCCTTGTTCATACTCAGATCATATGGTAAAATTGTTTTATCTAAAACAAAAAGAGGTTTTCCCACTGCAGATTGTCTACCCCTTTCTAACTCACAAGTGCCACAACCAGCTTTGACATATAGACACAGAATATAGCATAATTCCCTTTGAGATCATATAAGTTGTAATATTCTAAATAAAAAAAACCACCATATTTTAATTTATATTTATATAGTAAACATATGAATAAGAAGAAAATAAATGTATGTGTTACAAAATTACCTGACAGTTTTTCACACATAATGTAAATGACAACTGATTCTCTTAATATCGTATATATATATATATATATATACGATACACACAGATATATATCTTTGTTGTGCTTGTTACAATACTAGCATACAGCCTGTCAAAAATGACGGGGCAAGTACTACCACCCCCACCTCATAGTATACCCTAAACTTATATTTCATAGCTAATTGAAATAAATAAATTTTTCAAAATCAAGCTTGACAAACCCAGAAGCAGAAAAATGCAGTCAAACATTGGTAAATTATTTTGTGGGCCAATCAAAATTAAGATAATTCATGAAATAATTATTGGTAAAAATCAGTTAGATTAACAACTTCTAATATATAG